GCAGTGCAGAGGGCGATATATTCTGCTTTGGCCGAAGATAGTGCGATTAGTTCCTGTTTGCTCGACTGCTAGGAGATAGTCCCGATAGGCTCTAGTCGGTAGATGTAGCCCGTCCTTGAGCGTCGATTTTCCCTGTCTCCCGCGTGGTCGGCGTCGACGTATCCGAGTAGTTGTACGGACAATGTCGTTACTTTACTGTAGGTAAGTCCGGTCGTCGGCGTAGAGACGAAGTAGAGTAGTGCCCTATTTAGTTCCTCGAGAATTTCTTGTTCCGGCTGCTTCAGATGCGTCGCCAATTGGCTCGTGCTGTAAGATAGGTCCGGTCGGCAGGTTACTGCTGCGAATAGTAGGCAGCCGAGCTTCTGCTGATACTCCTGGATTTGCTTTGCGGGGAGTTTTGCGGAGGTGTCGTTGTTGTTCCTGTAGCGGTAGGGAGTCGTGACTGTAGTCGGTGTTAGTCCGAATTTCTTCGCGACAACGCCTGCGTATTTTCCAGCATATAGGTAGAAAGCCGAGTTGTCTTCGACGACGTTCAGGCCCAAGTACTGGGTCACGGTGTCAGACACCGTGAGTGTCAAGTCACTTCTCAGCTCCCCTTCGAACCAGGTGGCGATGTCGGTAGTGGAGCCGATGTAGAGCAGGTCGTCGACGTAGACGATGAGTAGGATAAAGTCCCTTTCCTTCTGTAGTCGGTACATGCCTTGGTCGTGCGGTAGCTGTAGGAACCCGATTCTGACGAGGCGACCGTGAAGATGCTGCTGCCAAAGCCGCGGAGCTTGCTTGATCCCGTAGAGGGATTTTATCAGCTGGCATACTTTTGTGGGGTCGTCGATGAATCCGTGGGGCTGCTCGACGAAGATCTCGGCGTCCACAGGTGCGTACAGGAAGGCGTTTGCGACGTCGATCTGGCGTAGTGGTAGTTTCTTCGTGGCCGCGACGGCGAGTAGAATGCGCAAGGAGGTGTGACGGGAAACTGGGGCGAATGTTTCTGTGTAGTCGGTTCCGTATCGTTGATCGAATCCTCGTACGACCCAGCGAGCCTTGAATCGTTCGATGGAGCCGTCCGCATTAGTCTTGATGCGGTACACCCACTTTCCCGAGAGTACGTTCTTCCCGTTGATGTTCGTTCCAGGTACCAGCTTCCATGTATTTCGGTCTTGCAGAGCTTTCAGTTCCTTTTCCATTGCCTCCTTCCATTTCGCCTTATGTTCCCCCCCCAGAGCCTGCGACAGAGTCGTTGGCTCACGCGGAGATGGCGGCGGCGGGTGCTGGACGGAGACCCATAAGCCGAGTATCTGCAGTCCCGTGGGTGTGTGTCGAGGGGAATTTTCATTCCCGGAATAGGCTGCTTCGTCACCATCTTCTGGATCAGGTAAGAAGTTTGGGCCGATGCGTTCTGAGACATTCGTGTCGACCGGGTGGGGTGTAACGTAACCTTGGTCAGCGAAGTGGTAAAGGGTATCGAGGTTGGTGCTATCGAGAGGATTGTCATCGTCGAGTGGAACAGGCACGGAACAGTAAGGGAGTGGTCCGGCAGCTTCTGAAGCTCCAGGTACGTCTTCTTCTGCTGTGTCAGCCTCGGCAGCACGGTCGGCGAAGGAGCGAAGACCCGCGAAGCCGTCGGTGGGGTCGTCTGTGTTGGTGACGTTGTCCAGGTAATGCTGAAGCGTCAGTCGTTCATAGAAAATTACATCACGTGATACCACGGTATTTTTGTCTTGTATGTCGAGGAGTTTCCATGCTTGGAAATCTTTGGCGATGCCGAGGTGTAGTCCCCACCGTGCTCGTTGTGTGAATCGTCCTGCTTGGGCTGTGTGGGGTCTGTATTGTACCATGCAGCCAAAAACCCGAAGTAGTTTTGTGCTGCCCCTTTTTCGTGTCCACAGCAGGTGCGGTGATGCGTTGTTGGGAAGCGAGGATGAGGATAACAAATTGTGCAGGTGGACTGCATGGGTCATCGCGTCTGGCCACAGTGTGTTGGGCAGTCTCATCCCCGGGAGCAGCTTCCGCATCGTCATCTGCAAGGTCCGCTTCATTCTTTCTGCGACCCCCTGCTGCTGGTGAGCGTAGGGCAGAGACACCAGGCGTCTGATTCCTCTTTTCCGCCAAGTAGTTCTTGACTCGTTGCGACTGGTATTCCAGTGCGCCGTCTGACTGGAAGCTCTTGAGCTTAGCTCCTGATTCTCGTTCAGCGATGGGGAGCCACGTCGTAAAGGCTTCGAAAGCTTGATCGCGCGTCTTAAGGTTGTAGTGCCATACATATCTTGTTGCTGCATCGATGAACGTGATGACATAGTTGAAGTCGGCTTCAGTGTCGTCTCGAGGCATGTTTAAGATGTCGCTGTAAACTTTTTCCATCGGTGCGTATGCAGGTGCGCTTGGGTTGTGATGTGATGGAAAAGGTTGGTGGGGAAGATCGGCTTCGGGGCACGTGAAGCACCGTGCGCATGGTCGTCGAAGTTCTTGGCCGCTCGTTGTAAGAAGAGCGTTTTGTTCTAACACTTCGGCTTGGATGGTTTGTAGTACTGTGCTGTTTGCAGGGTACCCGAGGCGTTGGTGCCAGATGTCGTCGGGAGTGCGATGGCCGGGCGAGCGTTGGTACATGTCGGTGTTGGAGAAGAACGCGACGACCGTGGCGGGACTTCGGCAGACTTCTCGTGTGATTGGCATAAGTTGATCTGCTTCGGTTGGCGGTCCTTGGATTGCTGGTGATGGTACTCGGCTGGGTCCCGCTGCTGTTACTGCAGGTGATGTCGAGGAAGGGACGCTTGCTGGTACTTGTCTTTCTTGTCGAATGACTGCTACCGCTCGTGTTCTCTCTGCTGCAGGTATGGTGTTGGAGTACCAGAAACCATCTGGGGTGAAGTCCGGGTCAAGATCCGACGGGTGCATCCATGCGGCGAACGACACGATGCCATCGCTGTCGGCAGTACCGCGGTCGGGGACGAAATCCAACACGAAGACGCCTGACTTCAGGAGAGCGCGACCGATGAAAAGACCGCCCTTCTCGTGGTAAAGGCGAAATTCGTTGGAGTCCGAGTCCCATTCCAGGAGAATCCCTTTTGCCATTAACTGGCTGACGCTGAGTAAATTGTATCCCAAGTTGTCGACGATTAGAACTTTGTTGAGTTGCAGTATAACGTTTGTCTCCATTGACTGAAGTTGAACGACGCCTTGTCTGTTTGTCTTCAGATTCTTGTTGTTGGCGACGGTGATGATAACATCGCGGTTAAGAGGTCGCTCTCGTTGCACGAAGCGCCCGGAATAACACATATGTTGGCCACAATAGCTGTCCAAGAACCAAGTGTTTCGTCCGGTGGGTTCGGCGTTGGCGACTGCAACGTACGTTGGGTTGACCTGAAGTCCTTGTGAGCGCGGCGGCGACAGTTCTTCTTCGTCTGGAGCGTAAGTGGGTGGTGATCCGGGTGCGCAGTTGTCGATGTGTACCATGCAATTGATGATGTTCGGTGTGCCTTGTGCAGATGTGGAGGAACGCCTCGGCGGGCTTTCTTGAGTGGAAGCGACGTGCGGGTCTACTGGTCGATAAGCTCGGGGGCGTGTGCAGTTGAATTTGGAGTGTCCGGATGTTTGACAGTTGTGGCAGAACGGCGGCACAATGGTGAGTCCTCTGTTGTCGCGTCGATCTTGCTTGCCGCGTCGGTTGTAGTAGTTGTCGTTCCTTCGTTGAGTGTAGAAAACTTACGGTTGCTGTTTCCTTGGTTGTCTTTCTTCAAACAGGTCCATCTCCTGTTGTTCAGCATGGAGCTCGGCGCAGAGGTGCATCTCCGAGATTCGTCCGTGGGCGCGAAGAAGCGAGCGGGTGGTTCTCCATTCTTGCCCGAGCCTAGCAAGGACAAGCGTCACGAAGCTTTCTTCAGTGATTGTTCCTCCACACCGAAGCAGGCGGTCGTGGAGTGTCTGGCAGCGACTCATATACTGCATCGCCTTTTCCCTGGTCTTCATCTGTGTTGTTGCCAGCTGCTGCATGAGTCTGCTTTGTGTCACGCTGTCGTTTGCTTGATAGAGACACTTGAGGTGATGCCATGCGAGTTCCGCGGAGTTTCCATAGCTCCGATACGTTCTGATGCTTTGCTGTTCTTGTGGTGACAGGTTCCGCAGGAGAACTGTGTACGCCAGCAGCGACTGATAAGTAAATATTTCTTGCTCCTTTGCAGTGCCATTGCTTGGAAATGGCAGGGACCCGTTGAAGTATCCCAAGAGGTGCGCAGCCTCCATCAGCAGCTCGAACTCAAAGCTCCAGGTAAAGAGGTCGTGTCCGTTGAACGGTGAGGATGTCTGCAGTTTGATGACGTGTGAAAACTGCGCCTGGAGACTCAGTATCTCGTTTGGTGTCTGTTGTGATGCAGCTGCTGTTGGTTGGGCACGGGGCGGCATGAACTCGAACGTCCCCGGTGAAGAGTGATAAGGCGCAAAGGTAGGCGCTTGATTGTGTCGCCCGAACGATGAGTTGTCGAGGCTCATCGGTGCTAATCCCATGTTTCCTCCGTTGCTCTGTGTTGAATGCGCAAGTGTCCTTGTCTGCTGCTGCTGGTCGAAGTGTGACATGAAGCTGAAGAACCTTTCCATAAGGTTCGGGTCCACGCTTGAAGAGGGTGATGGGGTCACCATTTCTGGTGCTCTTCCTGTTGTTTCTTGAGCAGCGCCGGTCTCGGATTGTAGTCTTGAAGTGTGCAATCCAGAGTTGCCGGGTTGGGTGTCTTGGCCGCTGGGTGAGCGCGTAGAGATCTTCTTGCCCTTGTTGTCCATGACTTATAATTGATGAAGCTTGTTGAAGTTGTTGAATGTAGATAGTGCGTAGTTGCTGGGAGTTTGGTCTCTGACCAGCTCTCATATTATGTTGGGCTGGGAAATAGCCCTTAGGATCTTTCGAGAGACCAAGTCCCAGTTGAAAAAAAAGGAGACTTGAGTAGTGCAGCGGAAGTTGAGTAGTTGAACCCTTGTACTAGTATGTGAGAGCAAGTGATTGATTAAAAGAACAAGCATACAGCAATATATAGAAAGTAGGAAAATAAGGCAGTTGTAGAATACAGTTGAAGAGCGGTTATCGAGTCGCACAGCGACTCGATTGTCGCTTCGGTTACCATTCTTGCAGTTGTAACGGTCAATCGCTACCTCCGGTTGCGACCCTTCGAGTCCTTTCGTGTTGTTTGTCCATCCCCTCGTGTAACCTCCGTTGACTCGCGTACCCGTTACGATCTTCCTCGAGTGTGGTGTTTATACTTCAGAAACGCTCAAGTCCTCGAGATATTTCCAACACAACTCACCAGGGCCCCATATCCACTAACTTCAGTAAAGGCTCCTCACCAACCCTGGTTTGAAACGCCTCCTTTCTTCATGTTCTGCAGTGCAGCACAAACAATCCACCCGGGACTCGCCCGGGCAATCACCAGTCTCCTTTGACTCGCCTGGACACACTGTAATGTCTCGTCTCTCCCCAACTCCCCTCCCCTGTTCTTGAATAGAGGCGAATCCTCTCTTCACGATTTCCAGCAGAAACACATTCCACAAGACAATCCGCCCCAACAGGCATCAGTCTCCTTTGACTCGCCTTAACACACTCTAGTGTCTCGTCGCTCCCTAACCCTGCTGACCTTGAATAGAGGGAAGCCCCCACTTCACGATCTGCAGGAGAAGCACGTTCCACGAGTCAATGGGCCCGGGCAGGCACCGGCTTCTGTTGAAGCACCTCAGCTCAGACACTCCACCTCCACTACCTGACTTCCCTTTCCCCCCTGCCCCTGAATAAAGGCGAATCCCCTCTTCACCATCTGCAGCAGAAACACATTCCAATAGCCAACCCGCCCTGGCAGGCACCAGCTTCTGTTAAAGCACCTCCAAACATTCTAGTGTCTGGTATGCTCCCTCCCTAACCCTGCTGCGCCTGAATAGAGGCGAATCCCCTCTTCACGATCTGCAGCAGAAACACGTTCCACGAGTCAATTGGGCCGGGCAGGCACCAGTGCAGGCAGTCCTGCGGCGGGGGGAACTTGGAGCCCTCATATTTGGCCAACTCCTCCGCTGCATTCAGCCCTCTATAAGGGCCGGGGTGCCCATCCACTCTCACCCCCGCACTTGGCATCACGTCCATAAGGGTGAATCTCAACGGGTCTACACTCGCCCCTGCTTCGTTAGCAGCCTCCATCGCCTCGTTATAAGCCTGCAGCTGCTGCACGTACAAGTTGAGCCCGAATGCGTTGCTGTAAGTGTAGTTGGCGCCTCTAGGTTCGGTAAGCCCCGCGCACGAGCCTCCGGTGTTCCATTCGCCCTTCTCATAGTGGTCCGGGGAGAAGGTTCGGTAAATGAACACCCGGTTCGGATTCTTCCCAAGCTCTTCCACCACATCCCGGAAAACCGTCCGAATCGCGAGTGCGAACGCGCCCTTGTTGTCGACCTTTGGCGGTTCCCCCCTCTTCCACCACCCGCCCTGGGATCCAATCGCCTCCCCTTTCTCCATATAGATTGAGGGTTTCACGAACCAATGTGCCGAACTGAACATGACCACGTCGAACCTGGCGATCTCGCCGAACCACTTGGGGCTGGTTCGGTCGAGGTGGAGGCGCGGTATGGTGTCAGGGCAGTCAGGTATGGCGTCGTTCCCTTCGTCTACAAGCCATGCGGAGTTGATTCTAGCGAGTGTGACTTTAGAGGAAGGAAAGACGAGTCGCAGCATGGCCTTGCTGCCATGGAGCTCGGGCTTCTCCACCTGGTGAAAAGGAAATAAAGGGAGGAGGGGAGGGGGGGGGAGAATGGAAGGGAGTATGGATGGATGGGAGGGAGCACAAAGCGCACAACGCGGGGCAGTGCCCAGCAGGTAGCACACCACAGACAGGCATGCGCCATGAACGCCGCACGCCCACCCCTCACCTGGCTCAGCAGGCGCACCAGTTCCTCGCCACACTGTCCCCCACTAAGAGCACCCCTCTACCGCGCATAAGCCTCATGAACGAACTCCCTAGCCTAGGCGGTCCAAGCCCAACGCCAAGCCCAAGCCCCTCCCTCAAATGGCCGAGCAAACAGACAAGCAACTCCACGTGGTTCCTTGCAACGCTGTCCTCCACACAGAGCACCCCTCTACCGCGTATAAGCTTCATTACCCTCATACCCCTCATAGCACTCACAGCCCCAATAGCCTTCACAGCCCCAATAGCCCTCACAGCTCCAATAGCCCTCACAGCTCCAATTGCCCTCACAGCCTTCATAACCCTAGTGACCTTCATAAACCCCACAACCTAGGCCCAAGCCTAAGCCCCCCCCTCACCTCGCTTAGCAAACAGACCAGCGACTCCATGTGGTTCCGCGCCACGCTGTCCCCCACAAAGAGCACCCCTCTACCGCGCATAACCCGCATGAACTCCCCGGCGTCGAATCGTGGCAGCGCGCACCCCTCCCCCTGCGGCCGCCACTGCCAGCGCTCGTACTGCCTGTCGGGGCGCCCGTTGCCCTGGCAGTTCTGGTGGCGTGTGATGTTGGGACACGTGCTGTTGGTGTAGAGCGGGGGGCTGGGGTCGGGGACCCATGACCCACGGTACAGGTCACAAGCAAGAGGGACTGTATTTGGGACGGGGGTGAGGGAGCAGAGGGGAGGGGAGCGAGAGGATAAGAGGGAAAGGGCGGAAAGATCATCAAAGTCAAGCAGAGCACAGCACAGTGCGCACCCCTCCCCCTGCGGCTTCCACTGCCAGCGCTCGTGTTGCCTGTCGGGGCGCCCGTTGCCCTGGCAGTTCTGGTGCCTTGTAATATTGGGACACGTGCTGCTGGTGTAGAGCGGGAGGCTGCTATCAGGCACCCATGATCCATGGTAGAGGTCGCAAGCAAGAGGGACTGGAGTGGGGAGGACAGGGGAGGAAAGAGAGAGGGAGAAGAAGAGAGAGCATGAGTTGCCCTGGCAGTTCTGGTGCCTTGTTATGTTGGGACACGTGTTGTTGGTGTAGAGCGGGGCGCTGCGATCAGGCACCCAGGACCCACGGTAGAGGTGGCAAGCAAGAGGAAATGCAGCACGTAAGGGAGCAGAGAGGGGGAGGGAAGCAAGAGGAGGGAAGAGGCGAAAGGGGGATCAGAAGCATCGAGCCTAGGCAGAGCACTGCGCACCCCCCCCCTGCGGCCGCCACTGCCAGTGCTTGTACTGGCTGTCCAGGCCGCCTGGTAGTGCGAAGTGCCTCTGAAAGAATCTCATACATGCTCGTACTGGCTGTCTGGGCGCCCGTTGCCAAACCGGGAGCCATGGGAGCAGAAGGCAGCACGCGACAGTAGGTCTACTTTAAGGCGTCTCAAGTTTTGTGGCACCTAAAAAACAGCACGTGGCAGTAGGTTTACTTTGAGGCGTCTCAAAAGAAACCTTCTTTCACCAAACTGGGAGCGACGGGAGCGGAAGCCAGCAGCCTTCGAGTCAACTCAACAGCCAGAGGCGGTAAAGCATGGTGTTGAGATGGCGTTTGAGTTGACTCAAAAGCACAATGAAGTGCTGCAGAAACGAGATGATAGAAAAAGGTTACCGGCATGGCGTTTACTAGAGCCTGAGCTCGTACCACCCAGTTTGATCCTCGCCTTGCGGTTCAGATGGCCTTGGAGTCAGCTCCAAAGCATGGGGACACGGCATGGTAGAAAAGGGGTGCCGGCATGTGTGACTTTGCTTGAGTGCGAGCTCGTACCATCCAGTTTGATCTTCGCCGTTGCGATCGAACGAAGGTGCTGTGGCATGGCATGGACATACGGGTGGTTGCTGCAGAGTCTGCTTTTGATAGAAGAAAAGGTCTACTAGAGGGCATGAGCGCGTACCATCCAGTTTGATCCTCGCCTTGCGTCCTCCTTTCTTCCTTGCGCTAGAGGCACCCTTAGCTGCTGCTCCCCCGCCACTCCCACCACTCCCATTAGGGTCACTCTTGGCGTCACCGTTACTGTCACTCTTGGTGGCACCATTACTGTCACTCTTGGTGCCACCGTTACTGTCACTCTTGACGCCACCGTTACTGTCACTGTTGCTCCCACCACTGCCCCCGACTCTCTTATCCGCAGCGCTGCTGCCTGCCTTAACTCCTCCCTCTCCCGCTCCAGCCCCATTCCCCCGCCCTGCATTTCCCTCTACTCCGCTCGCCTCCTGTGCATTGCCCGCATTGACTCCTCCCTCTCCCGCTCCAGCCCCGTCCCCCTGTCCTGCGTTTCCCTCTGCTCCATCCACCTCTCTCGAATTTGCTTCACCTGGTGCCTCCTCCCCACCACCCTCCTCTCTCCCTTCCTCTCTCCCCTCCTCTCTCCCCTCCTCTCTCCCCTCCTCTCTCCCCTCCTCTCTCCCCTCCTCTCTATCCTCCTCTCTCCCCTCCTCGCTCCCCTCCTCTCTCCCCTTCTCGCCCCCACTGCTATCGCTCAGCGCTTCACTCATCATCTCCTCGCACCCAACCAGCAAATCCTCTCCGTCTTGCCCTCCCTCCTCCGAACCTCCTTCCGAACCTCCCTCCGAACCTCCTTCCGTACCACCCTCCGAACCTCCTGTCGAACCTCCTTCCAGTCCCCCACCTTTTCCTGCACCTATGCTACCCCTCTCCTCCACCTCCCCCTCGCCATTCCCCCCACTCGCCCCTTCTCCCTCCCCCTCTTCACCCCTCTCCCCTTCACCAACCGCCCCCCCACCTTCCCCTCCTCTCTCTCCCTCCCCCGCAGATTCTCTTGCCTTCCCTCGTCCCTCTCTCTCCCTCACCACCCCTCCTCCTTCTACACTCCCACCTACCCCCCGGCCCTCTCCCTCATCCTTCCTCGCATCATCTCCCTCCGCCGCCTCTTTCCGTTCGTCAACTCCCTCCGCCTCTCCGTCAGCGGCCGTCAAATCTGCCGGCCCGTCAACGGAAACGGCCGTCTCGATCTTCCTGAAGCTGCCGAGAAGCGAAGCCGTCGCGCTGCCCGATTCGTCACTCTCCGCCTCCCCCTCTCGCGCCTCCCCCTCTCGCACTTCCCCCTCTCGCGCCTCCCCGTCTCGCGTCTCGCCCGTTTCAGGAGCGCCAGGCCCCCATCTCCTGCCGCCGCCCCTTGCGCCTGCTAGCTCGGCTTTCGAGGAAAAGCTTGCTTCTGCTGCTTGCTCCGCGGCGTTTAAAGAGAAGCTCTCTTGGGATGTCTTTAGGTGCTCCGCGATCGGCGCTCGCGCAACGAACGAGCCCCACAGGACGACGCACGCGAGCAGCGGGAGCAGCAGCAGTGCGACACCCAGCTGCGACTGTGCGATGGCGTGCGACGCCCAGCTGGAGAATCGTCCGGTGAGCTCCTCCTTCTTCGCCATTCCCCTGGCGAAAACGTAACCCCCCTGAGTGACTGATAGAGTTTCCGCACAAAATTCCGAATCACCCAGAGTAGGATCCTCAAAACTGTCACACGGAGAATAGAGATGATCGCGTCGCCAAAATCTCACGCGAGCAGCACCAATGGGAACTGCGGTTACGAGTACCTAGAAGGCGAGGTTGTAGAGTGGGCTCAACAGCAGTTCTGCGATTCGCGCGAGGGATGGTACCGTGGCCATGACGGTGTGTCTGAGCGTGAAGGCGTGCCTGGAGGCATGTTTCGCGCACCTGCTAGCGGCGAATCTGCTAGCGGCGAATCTGCTAGCGGCGAATCTGCGAGTGGCGAATCTGCTAGAGGCGAATCTGCTAGAGGCGAATCTGCGAGTGGCGAATCTGCTAGAGGCGAATCTGCTAGCGGCGAATCTGCTAGTAGCGCGTCTGCTAGCAGCGCGAAGCCCGCTTCTACCGCACAAGTCGTCGACTTGGGAAATTCTCGGGCATTGATAAATGCAGGTAGAGGGGAGCGAGGGCTGGATCATGTGTGTGTTTTTTAGTAGAGGGGAGTGAGGTCGAGATATGAATGGTCGCCGGGAAGTGCCAGGCGAACGGAGCAAGCGGGATGGAACTCAACCCAGCGACGAAGAGATTCGAGGGTGTCACAAGAGTTCGACATGCCCCGAGAGGCGTGTTCCCACGCGTACGTTGAATTGCGGTTGGATGAGATGCTCTTCGAGTTAGAAGGGTCTCATAACGACCTGAAACGGTTGGATTGGGTTTTGAGCGAGAAACGTACGCGCGGGACATGCCCTGAACAGATCTCGGGGGAAAGGGCCTGGCAAACAGACATCCCATCAGGCCCACAAAGGAAGGACACACCTAGGTTGTTTTTGGCGGGAGACGAATGAGCGGACGAGACCTGAATTTCACAGGTGCACTGTAACTTCACAGGTGGCGTTTTGGGTTGGTTGTTGGTTGGAGAAATTCTGGGGCTCGTGTCTGACACCCGTGTCAGAGCGAATCCCTACGAGCGTTCCAAACACCAGATTCGGATTGCTGCCAGCTCTCTCATTTGATTTTGTTGGCACCTGCCATATTTGGATCTTCCGATCCTGCATCCCGGATTTCAAGGGTTTCAGGGACAGAAGATTTAATCTAAGCTTCTCCTTTACAGATTTAATCTTGGCATGTTTTTTCCAGAAACTTAAAACAAGCTAGTTCAAAGACCTATAATACAATACGGGTTTGTCTCCGAGCGCTTATTGTGTCGGTAAATACTAGGTAAGTACCTCCGAAACGCAAGGCAAGCAGGAGCGATACGAAGTTCGTGTTCGGGCGTTCGCAGGAAATCGCTCTCATACAGGAAGACCCGATGTGGAAATTTTAACCTCGGGTCTTCCCAACCCTGACGGCTGTTGGACCGGAAAGTCACATTTAGCTGACAGAATTAGCGGAAGACGAGTGTCACAAAACCTGATTCGAGATTCGTCCGCCAGTCTACGACTCCCAATGCCATACAGTCATAGTTCAATTTCGCTCTCGTTTTCGCTTTTGCGTGACCGTCATAATCACAAGACCCAACGTTGGGTCTGCAAACCCCGCGGCTCCTTCGGCCGCGGGTCAGACTCGGGTCAACCCGAGGTGCGGAATGAGCTCAGGGATTTATTGAAGTCGTGGAGGAGGTTTAGGGCGTATTCAAATCTTGTGTCATTCCAACATCTGGTCATCATTTGCCAGCATTTCGGAACTTCGGGTCTTCCGAAACGGGGCAAATGATGACAAGATCTTCGACTATTGCCAGTTTCGTTCGCTGCGCGGGCCACGATTTACAATTCCGCAGCGAGTGTCACCCTAGGGTTTAGGGTGAAGACCCCGGTCTGGAAAGAAACAAGAGGCGACGAGATCGTCTTAGGGTTGCGGAGCATTCGACGAGGAGACTTTATTATACATAAATGTTTGATTTTCATACCAAATAATCACTCCGTTTGTTGGATAGAAGCCGGCATTTTCCATATCACAAACAAACAGTTGATTATTATTTCCATATCACAAGAACAAATGATCGTGCTTCACATATTTATTTGAAAATTGAGGCAATATGTAAAAATGAGTTTGGATGAGGCCACGTCTTGGAGATCGACTATTCACTTGTGAAGATTCAAACCCGAGTGCTTCCAGATCAATCTGTCTTTCAATCGACTAAGAATTCACACGTTGTCTGAATGAGTTGTTAATTTTTGACATGTTAAAATTGCGACGAAGGTCCAACAACTTCAGCGATCGCTTCTCATTTTCCTCTCGCCTAACAATCTCCTCAGCAGACCTACCTCTCATAGCACATATATGTCGTTCAGCAGAGCTACCTCTCATAGTTGCCTCCTAATTTCCTCACATTTCCTATCTTCTTTCCGCGAACTCGATGGTTCTGGGTCGGGATATTGGGCTGCAGCCCATTTCGACCTTGTTCTAGGTTGTATTAGTGGGCTGCAACCCATTTCAGCCTAGTTCTAGGTCGATCTACAGGGCTGCAACCCATATCGACTTCGTTCTAGGCCGATTTTAGGGATTGCAACATTTCTCTACCTATATCTAGGTCAATTTATGGGGCTGCAACCCACGTCGACCTAGATCTACATCGATTTATTGAGCTGCAGCCCATTTCGACTTCCATTTTGCCGTTTTTCTGCAAACCCTTCTTCTTACTTTCTTGTATCATTCTCTAATTTGTGTTCACCGTCTGTTTCTTGCTCTATTTCTTGCCTTGTTTCCTGATCCCCTCTAACTCCATTGGCATTCTTGTATACTTGACTTAGGATTCCAAGCATTCGTGAAAGCTGAAAAGTGGCTTCGTTATGGGCGTCGATTAAACACCGTTTCTATTCCAAGCTGACTGAATTGCATCCTTGCTTGTCAAATTTTGTATTGCTTGTTGATGATTTCTCTTCATGTCTGTCGCTGGCCCAACAACATCCATTTACCACATGGATAAGCATTTTGTGTGAGAAAGAAAGTGGGTTAATCTTATCATTTCAAGCAAGGTTCTTTGACTCTCTTTTTGAGTGCAGTCACTTGAACTGGAGATGATAAGTGCAATCTATTTTTTTTGCTATCATAAAATATATTATCTTACGGAGTGTTGATATAATATGCTTTCGACTTCCCCCACTTAGCTGGGGAAGCGATAGCATATTTTTCTCAATGACAAAACCTATTTTTGTCAATGAAAAAAATACGCCAAAAGAAATCATGGAGAACAATGACAAACGTTTTAGATTCAAATCAATCAGGATAACTAAAATTTATTGGGAAATTCATTGGTAAATAAAGATTTGGTTTTTTTCCGAATCACAAACTTGGAAGAAAATTCCTTATGATCAATCGCAATAGGTTGCTCTGCAACCCAAAAATTGCCTCGGGTCTATGAAAAACAAGGCTCCACGTAAATACTTAGGGAAATTCTGTAGTGAGTGTCAGACCCGAGGGTTTAGCGGGAAGATCCGAGGCTCGAAAAATATTGCCTCGGGTCTTGCGAAATACTGACGGCTCCAGCTAGTCAGCTGTCAAACCGAACAACTAACAAAGTCGCGCAAATGAATTTCCACCAATCATAACATCGAAAAATTCTGCTGGACTCGAAAAGTTCGGCCAGTATAACGCAACCCTCCCCTTGCGACAGTTCACGACTATGCTGCCGCTGCACCGTCAAGAAAATTAAACCCGCAGTTAGGTTGTGACAACTCGCGGCTCCTTCGACCGCGGCTCGACCTCGGGTTTGAAACTCGTTGCGGAATGCTCCCTCAGATGGGTTGTGTATCAACATTTTCTTGCATATATTGAAATATATTTTTTTCCTGGAACAATTTTATTAGGAATGTGCAATACTTCAATTTAATTGATTGGGAAAATGGATGTATGATAAAATTGGTAGCATTAAGAACTTTAGAAACGCTTTAATGCTTTATATTAAAGTAATGCTTTGGATTACTCTTTCTACGTTTGTAAAGGTGTTGACCTACCGGTACAAATGAATGGCTTTCAGGGACAAAGCAAACACACTCCTGCTAGGGTTTATTGGTGAGTCTTCCACCATTGCCTCGTTCTTTCTCGTCCCTCGCTCGTACAGTAGCTTGTTTTTCCTCTTCTCCCGTGCCTTGTTCTTCCTTGTTGTACAGTAAGTCTCCCACCTAGTCCTAGCACATACTTATCCTAGTTCTTGCTGCTAATTATGCTTAACTGTTACCAAAGCCATTTCAGTTCGCGCTGGCGCGGTTTGCGCTGGCACGTTTCACGCTGGCGCGGTTTGTGCTGGCACGTTTCGCGCTGGCGCCTTGCGCGCTGGCACATTTTGTGCTGGCGCCGTGCGTGCTGGCGCGTTTCGTGCTAGCGCCTTGCGCGTTGGCGCGTTTCGCGCTAGCGCCGTGCGCGCTGGCGCCTTGCGCGCAAGCGCGTTTCCCGCTGGCGCTGCACGCGCTGGCGCGTTTCGTGCTGGCGCCATGCGCGCTGGAGCCCTGCGCTTTGGCGCCTTGTGCGCTGGCGCGTTTCGCGCTGGCGCGTTTCGTGCTGGCGCCTTGCACGCATGTGCGTTTCGTGCTGGCGCCGTGCGCACTGTCGCCGTGTGCGTTGGCGCATTTCGTGTTGACGCCCTGTCTCTGCGGCCGTGTGCGCACGTGGCGCTGTGCGAGTCGTCGTGATATGGACATCGGAAAAATGTACCCTCCGTAACGGCACGTTTAGCCTTGGTTTAGGGGAGGGGATGCCGTCGTAACGAGGGTTCCCCATGCGCTCCGTAAACGGAGTAGGCAATGGATGTTTAGGTGTCGCAAAACTGGTGCTCAGTAGATGGGCATTTTGCAATCGAAACGGAGCTACAGTGCGTCGCGTTTCTGGTCGGAAATGGCCTTGTAAGCTCCCGAATGCTGCTAACGTGTCCTTGTGGGGCTCGGCTCGTCTGTAACGGAAACCCCCGTTTGCGGCCTGAAATTTCCTCGTCTGCCCCATTTGTGGGAAGCTCTCGGTGGCCAAGTGGTACTACTACATTGGTCCTCGATGTGTGATCGAACACTTCACGCAGATCCTGGTAACAGGATCCTTACGATAATCTGATTTTTGTATTGTTATATTGCATGTTTTGGTTTCGCTAATGTCACATGTTTTTTAATATCAGCGCGGTGTTGCTTCACTGTAGAATTAGCCTTTAAAAGTTGTTTATAATACAATGAATTGATTTATGCGCGTTCATTTTTTTTTTTTCGCATGGAATACTATTTTGCATTTATTTCACATGAATACCACTACAAATATAAATAATTGATTAGATAAAATGGGGTTAAGATTATTAATAATAAGCACTCACACTGATTATCCGATGAAACCTAGGCAGGGGGTAGGCCATTGGGGAAGATATCATTCTCAAACCCCTCGATAAGGATTTTGACCTTATCATTTGCGCCCATGCAAAAGCCATGAGGGTAGCGGGGCCTCCTGATGGATGGGTCCAAATAGTAGTACTCCCTGAGCCATTCCACGACCTCTGTGATCTTGAGGTTGACATGGTGCCTGTTGTTGGGGTCTCCACTATGTCCAGTGAGGCAACCGCAGGGCCCTT